AACCATGGGCTCAAACCACTACAAATGCCTTTCCCCCCCAAATTTATAGCACAGTATAATACCCTAGTGGGAGAAGGATGTGGCTTTCTACTCGTCCCTGGAAGCTCATATGGGCAGTTCTGCCCTGTCCTATGGGGTCTCTATGAGTCAGCATCAACTCGATGGCAGAGATATGACATCCTAGGTCTAGAACTTTCCCTTATAATGCAACTCTCTGAAAATAGCTCTTTATAACCTTCCAGTAGAATAAAGAAGGCATTTTTATTTCAAAGGGATGTGTCAGATCCACTACAGGCACATATATATATACATATACATACATATACATACAGGCATATAATAATTGAAATTCATTTCAATTCAAATTCAATTCAAATAGACACATATTTATTGATGCCATTATATAATACCTGCCTTCCCATTAGGATTAAGTAACTATACGTATATATAACTACTGCATATTACACTTGACAGAAATGATTTAGTAAGGCAATGGCTACTTTCCTCTTTATTTATCAGCCAACTAAGTTCCAGGTTTTATCCTTTGAAACACCAAAATAGGTAATCCTAGTGAAAACTCTCTCATTTGACGTGGGTCCAGGATCTTTCATGGTTACCTCATGCCCAGGAAATGTCACAGGACAATATTTTCAGGTATGTATTTATGAACCCATGGTTTGTGGACTCTTAGGTAGGAATAACACTTGGATTCTTTCAAATTTTCCCAACTAGGTCTTGAAGAAAAGGCTTCAAACCTATGTGTGGAAAACCATATCAGGAAGCATAATTACAAGACCAGGGACTGCACACACCCATACCACCCACCACACACACCAACCCCCTTTTAATGTCTATGTGGCTCTCCATGTGTCACAAAGTTGCAATGGTTGAGGTCATGTAACCTAGAACTCTGCCACCTTGGGATAAGTCCTGATTCACCCTTCATCAGCTGTCTTAAATCTGGATAGTTTCTAAACCCCTTTCTTCAACTTTCAAACAGGAGTGATATTACCTGTCTCAAAATTGTGGAGGTTAAATGAGTTAATATATGCAAAGTGTATTACTACAGTGTCTGGCAGAAGTATGCCTTCAAATGTTACTTTTACCCGGTAAGCAAGATATAGCCTTTTATATTCCATTGTGTGAACACTATAGTTTCTGGGATAAGATAGGTTGATTACCAATGTGGGAGATGGCCCTAAAAAAACACTTGGAAGCATGGCTTTGGCCATGTCTTAGTGATATATAATTGTGTAACAAAAATGCAACTTTGAATCTTAAAATGCTGGGCACTTTTTTCATTTTTATTTCCAAAGAGATACACTGATTTTATGGCAACTATTTTATGATAGTAATATATGATATAAAGGATAACACATAGAACATTGACAGTATGTCAATATTAGCAAATACTGGCATATGCAATGTGATCATTATTATAATTGAGACATTCTTTAGTAACCAAAAATAGGTTGTCCCCAACCCCCCTCCACTATCATTATCCCAATTCTACCTTACAAATCCAGCTAAACCAGAGGATGTACACTGGTACAGATAAGAGCCGGAAATACTGGGAATCTAGGACAGATGATCCCTTCAGGGCCAGTGGTGAGAGTGGCGATACCAGGAGGGTAGAGGGAGGGTGGTGTAGAAAGGGGGAACCGATTACAAGGATCTACATATACCCTCCTCCCTGGGGGATGGACAACAGAAAAGTGGGTGAAGGGAGACTTCGGACAGTATAAAATATGACAATAATTTATAAATTATCAAGGGTTCATGAGGGCGGGAGAGTAGGGAAAATGAGCTGATGCCAGGGGCTTCAGTGGAGAGCAAATGTATTGAAAATGATGAGGGCAA